ACGGTCGACTACGTGGGAGTCCAGCGACATAGCCATTACGCTAACTGCTGGTTCCCCATCCCACCCCACTTTTGAATGGAGCAGCCCATCCTTGGAGGCTTGCAGGGCTCTCTGAGCCCTTCTCCCCAGATTCTGAAGGAGGCGCAAAGTCCTTCCTGATCCCTTCCTGGTCCCTTCCTGGTCCCTTCCTGGTCCCTTCCTGGTCCCTTCCTGGGCTTTGTCATCACACAGTGTGCTCACAAGTTGTCTGACCCACCCTCCCAGCAGCTGGGGCTTGGTAGGTATCACTCCCTGGAAGAGGCCAATGAGGAAACTGAGGCGTTGGGAACTTTAATGGCCTGCCTGGGTCAGCAGACCTGGGCCTGGAGGCAGCTGGGGGATTGGCTCGTGGTTCTCGCACAATTCCTTTTGCGTGGGATCTATCTAATGACCTGTCCTCCCTTCCTCGCTGGCCTCCTCCCTCCTTTGCCTACGTCTTCCCTTCAGCTCCAGAGGATGCTACCAAGCCTGAGCATCACAGGTGGGCCTGGGAGCTGCTGTGTTGGGGGGCGGTACCATCTTTACCTGGGAGGGGGTTGAGGAGAGGCTGGGAGGCCCAGGGCTATGGTGGGTGGGCCTGGGAGGCAGTCCTGGAGGCAGCATCAATAATAGCTCTGTCTGGCCCACCCTCTGCAGAGGCAGCACAGCCTGTCCCCCCCATGGCACCCTATTCTTTGCCTAAAGAAGACATCAAGTGGTCACCCACTCTCCAGCCACCTGGGGTGCTAGTTCCTCCAGCTCCAGATCCCAGCCTTCTGGTCCCTCCCCCTGGCAACCCCGCTGGCTTCGGGGAGCTTCTCTCTGAGGTCCTGGATCCTGAGCCCCTGGCTGCCAGCCTGCCCTCTGCCAGCGAACAACTCCTGCCCGACCTGCTGATCAGCCCCCACATGCTGCCGTGTAAGGATCCCAGGGGCTGGGTAGGCTTTGCAAGGAGGGTGGCAAAGAAGAGATGAAGGTGTTTATGCGAGTCCCCTTTGGGTCGGGGGAGAAGAGGGAGCTGACTAGGCTGGGCCTGACCACTGGGCTGACCCTCTGCCCCACAGTGACCGACCTGGAGATCAAGTTCCAGTACCGGGGGCGGCCACCCCGTGCCCTCACCATCAGCAACCCTCATGGCTGCCGGCTCTTCTACAGCCAACTGGAGGCCACCCAGGAGCAGGTGGAGCTCTTTGGGCCTGTCAGTCTGGAGCAAGTGCGCTTCCCCAGCCCCGAGGACATCCCCAGCGACAAGCAGCGCTTCTACACCAACCAGCTGCTGGATGTGCTGGACCGCGGGCTCATCCTTCAGCTGCAGGGCCAGGACCTTTACGCCATCCGCCTGTGCCAGTGCAAGGTGTTCTGGAGCGGGCCCTGTGCTGCAGCTCAGGGCTCCAGCCCCAACCCCATCCAGCGGGAGGTCAAGACCAAGCTCTTCAGTTTAGAGCATTTTCTCAATGGTGAGGCCTCACCCCGAGTTCCTCCTGGCCTTTTGCCTCGGGCATGGCTCCAGCCTCTGACCATGGGTTCTGATTTTGATGCAGAGCTCATCCTGTTCCAGAAGGGCCAGACGAATACCCCACCACCCTTTGAGATCTTTTTCTGCTTTGGGGAGGAGTGGCCTGACTGCAAACCCCGAGAGAAGAAGCTCATTACTGTACAGGTACCCCTCCCTCCCCTCCCAGCCCCTACACTGCCCTGAATTCTGGGGACTCCTTGGGAATCCAGGTGGCGGTGCGGGGCTCTGTCTGTGAGAACCTGGCCGTCCTCACGCACAGCGGGATCTGGCAGCTCTGCCATGGGCCTCCCTGCCCTGTCTCCTCTCCGTTCTTCAGGTGGTGCCTGTAGCAGCTCGCTTGCTGCTGGAGATGTTCTCAGGGGAGCTTTCTTGGTCGGCTGATAGCATCCGGCTTCAGATCTCCAACCCAGACCTCAAAGATCGTATGGTGGAGCAGTTCAAGGAGCTCCATCACATCTGGCAGTCCCAGCAGCGGTTGCAGCCCGTGGCACAGGCCCCTCCTGTGGTAGGCCTTGGAGCTGGCCAGGGCCCCTGGCCCATGCACCCCGTGGGCATGCAGTAACAAGGCTGTGGGCAGTGACTGGCTCGGGCTTACTGGGTGGCTGTGTGGACTGGTGCAGAGGTGCAGCAGCACAGGGCACCTGGCTGGCTGCATGCTCCTACCTCTGGGTTCCTAGAAATGGATCTGGGCCAAGTAGGAGAGGAAAAAGAGGCCTGAGCTCAAGATTCTCCCTGCAAAGCTTTGCTCTGAGGGCTCTATATTCCTGGGCTTGCGTTACTCTGGAGACAGCCCCAGTGAGGGGTAAGGAACTCCCCAATCCTGGGGCCTCATTGTACAGGAGGAATCGCTCAGGTTGGCCACAATGTGGTTGCCCCATTTCCTCTGGCAAAAAGAGTCAAGGAGAGGACCAGCAGATGGCATAATGGTTATGTCATTGAAGTCCCACGTGGTCGACTATGGTGTGAGTCCTGGACTCTGCGGCTTAAAACTCATGCGGGGCACATGTGCATGCATGCCCCAAATCCCAAGAGAAGACTGAAGGAGAAGGGATTGCAGCATGGCCATCCCCCATGGAGGGTGATTTCTCGCTTTCTGTCTGTCTCTGTTTCTCTAGCAAGTGCATAAGCCCTGTAGCAAAACTGTCTCTTAAAAAAAAAAAAAGAACAAGAAGTGTTGTGGGCCATGACCCCCCAGAGGACCTCTGCAAGGCATGGGCCTGCTGCCGGGAGTCCACGTTTGAGCCTGCTCCATCTTTTTCCTCCCGAGTCAGATGTGAGCACTTAGGTGATCACACCAGACTTAAGGCTGGCAGCTAACACCTCTCATGAGCATCTAGTCTACCTGGAGTAGAAAGTAGATTATGTATTTTTGGATTAATAAATCTTAAAAAAAAAAAAAACAGACTCAGATGTTTTTTGTGTGTTTTTTTTTTTTTTTTTTTTTTCCTTGTCTGGTACCACTGACTTCCATGTTGCTCCACCAGGCCCTCCTTGGATGCCAGCTGGCCCTCTCCCTAGCACCTGCCCTCTGGAGTGGGGCCATTGCCACAGGAGGGCCTGCCCTCCAGGCTGATGAGGCAGTCAAGCCTTCACAAACACTCACCTGGCTTTGCTTTCCAGGAGGAAGCTGGCGAAGCAAAGGCATGGAGTTTTAAACATGTACACAGTCTAAAACCTGTCTAAACCAATTTTCCCATAAGAAATGGAGAAAGGAAGGCTGGTATTCCAGCTACACTTAGATCTTAACCACCTGTTATCCTCATGCATATTCATGGTCTATTAATAGTAAGCGAGTGCATACAAATTGGTAGTTCATTGTTTGAATCTGGCTCACAGGCACAAATCTGTGGCTTGAACAGCATATTGTCATTGTTATTTTACCTTTTTATTATGAAAGATTTTTATGAAAGGGGTAATGGTATGCAATCCCCATGTGGCAGCTTCAGTGATTATCAATTCGTCAATCTTGCTCATCTAAACTCCCATCCTGAGATTATGCGACCACCACCCTGAGATTATTGTGAAGCAAATCCTAGACATAACATTTCGTGTGTAAATATTCAGCATGTATCTCTAAAAGACAGAGACATTTTAAAAATTAAATCTATGAGTAAGTCATAAACACACCTAGTGTGAAGAAATTCCTGGGTCGTCAGAAAAGTCATGATGTATTTTTGCATAGAAAAACAGAAAAATATGTCATGACTTTCCTGACGACCTAGTAATTTTTAGCAACTAGCTAGTTAAAATTTTAAGACATTCATGGGGCCAGCAGATGGCATGATGGTTATGTCACCCAACTCCCACATAATCAACTGTGGTTTGAGTCCTGGAGGCTTAAAACTCACACTGGGCACGTGTATGTGCGTGCCCAAAATCTTGAGAATGAAGTGATTGTGGTGTAGCCATCCCCCAGGGGAGTAGTTTCTCTCTTTCTGTTTCTCTCTCTCTCTGGTGAGTGCATGTGCCCTATAGCAAAATAAAACAAAACTCTCTCTCTAAAAAAAATTTAAGACATTTAGAGAAATTTCATTCTCTCCCAAATGAGGGAACATTTTTTCTTACTATCTTTCTGTGGTGTTTAACTTTTTTTAATTTTCAATTTCCTGTATTTTCTCTAAGTTGTTACTTAGACCTAGACTCTGAATTCTAGAGACTCAGTCAGATTCAGATTTTTGTTTTGCCTTTTTTTTTTTTTCATAATTATTTATTTGCAGAGGCCAGCAGGTGGTATGGTGATTAAGACTCTGGACTCCCACAAGGCCAGTTGTAGTTTGAGTCCCAGACCTAGAAGTTTGCTTTCTCACTTTCTCTTTCTCATAAGTGCACATTCCCTGTAGTAAATTAAAAATAATGATAAATAAATTTTTTAAAAATTTATTATTTTTAATTTTCTTTTTAAAATTATTTATTTTATTTTATTTATTTATTCATTTATTTTAATTTGATCAGAGAGACACACACACACAGAGAGAGAGAGAGAGAGAGGGAAAGTGAGAAAGCAAGCTGCCAGGTCCAGGACTGGAACCACAGTTGGCCATGCAGGAATCCAGCACCTCAACCACCATGCCACCTGCTAGCCCCTTGCCTCTCAATTAAAGGTCTTTGAGTTGTTTTCATCATTAGCTATTGTAAATAATGCAGTAAATATGCTTGCACATACTTTATGCCTTTTCATCTAGATAGGTCCCTAGAAATGGGACTTCTGAGCCAAAGGATAAATATGAGGGGACTTCAAAAAGTTAGTGAAAAAATTCAAGTACAGACTTATTTTTGGTGCAGGAAAGCTTTTTTTTTTTTTTTTTTTTTTTTTTTTTTAAAGTTTTTTTTTTTTATGGACACTGCGTCTTCCCAAAAAAGAGAGAGAGACAGAGAGTGAGAAATCACCCCCGGGTGGATGGCCACACCGCAATCCCTTCTCCTCCATTCTCTCAGGATCTTGGGCATTGTATGCACACGTGCCTGGCATGAGTTTAAGCCACTGGATCCAGGACTCGAACTGCAGTCATATACATGGGAGTCCATCAACATAGCCATTACGCTAACTGCTGGTCCCCAGAGAAGTTTTGAAATCCATGCATAATTTTAAAATAATACACATTCTTAATGAACATTTTGAAGACCTTACCCTGGTATGCATGTAAGTTTGCAAGTTATTGGTGAAATATACCTCCATAACTGTATGAGAATACATTTCCTCACAGCCTCACCAACAGAGCATACTGTCCACTGTTTAGATTTTTGCCAACCTGACAAGTGAGAAATACATCTCAATGCTATTTTTCATTATCAGTTGCTTTTCATATTGTTAAGCAGCCTGGGCAGATTGTTAAAAAGGATAAATAATTTATTAGATTATCAAGAAAGTCATGAAATGTTTCGATGAAAAAAATGCATCGTTGGAACCAGCAGTTAGCGTAATGGCTATGTCGCTGGACTCCCACGTAGTCGACCGCGGTTCGTGTCCCGGACCCGGTGGCTTAAAACTCACGCCGGGTGCGTGTGCATGCGTGCCCAAGATCCCGAGAGGAGAATGGAGGAGAAGGGATTGTGGCGTGACCATACCCCCTGGGGGGTGATTTCTCGCTTTCTGTCTCTATGTCTCTCTGTGTCTGTCTGGCGAGCACACGCGCCCTATAGTGAAAATCTCTCCCCCCCCCAAAAAAAAGAAAAAAATGCGTCTTTCCCAATCAGTAACCCAGATTGGTTACTAAGGTAATAGAGTTCTTATATGCCCCACACCCAGTTTTTGCAACTGTTAACATCGTCCATTACTATAGTACATTTTTAAAAAGGAATTATTTAATTTTATTATTTTATTTTTAAAATAATTACTTAATTTTATTTATTATTTCTCAATCTGCTGTAGGGCACGTGCATTCACCAGAGAGAGAGGTGAGAAAGCAAGCTGCCAGGTCCAGGACTCAAATTGGTCGGCCATGTGGGAGTCCAACACCTTACCCACTACGCCACCTGCTGGCCCACTATGGTACATTTTCACAACTAATGAAAATATGGATAGCTAATTATTAACTAAATTCCATACTTAATTAGACGCCATTAGTTTTTATCTAATATCCTTTTTCTGTTCTAGGACCCCATCCAAAAAATCATATTACATTTGTTCATCCTCTGGTCTGTGATAGTTTCTCACTGATTTTTGATGACCTTGAGGGCTTGAAGGAATACTGGTCAGGTATTTTGAAGACTGTCCTTCAGTTTGGGTTTATCTGCTGTGTTGTTTCTCATGGAGTTTTTGTAAGAAGACCACAGATGAAATGTCACTCTCACTGCACTGTATCTCAGGTGCACGCTATCAACATGATTTATCACAGTTGATGCTGACCCTGATTGCCAGGCTGAAGCTGTCTGATGGTTCCTCTATTACAGTTAGCCCCCACCCCTGCTTTTCTATACTGCATGTATGTACAATTTCAGAATTCTCCATCTGTACCCCTAAAGAAACTTTACCAACCAGGATACAGTGCTTAGGTACAGCTCCCTTTGTCAGGAGTCCTGCTTTTCTATCATTTACAAAGGTTAGCACATTTTCTGCCCACTGGCCTGTGCAATTCTATCTTCTCTTGACATTGAAATTAGTTGTCAACACTTTAAAATTAGGAGATGTCACATAATCTGACTTCCAGCTTCCTCAAAAAGTTGGCACATATGGAAACTTCTTCTCACATTCCTCATAGCAGTAATCAGTTAGAACTTTAGATGGGGACTACTCTCACAATTCAACACGATACTCTCCCAGCCTGCTTCACTCCTTTCATGATATGCCTTGTCCCGAAAGGCATGTAAGTTTGCGGAATAGGGGAGCAGTCTTTGAGAGCACAATTTGCAAAATTTGGAAGAGCCACGTACATGCACTTCACAACCCTGATGAACTTTCTCTGTACTGATGTTGGTTCAGTAGTTGCCGAAAATGTTCCCTGGATTTCTAACTTTTTGATTTTGCAAAAATAAAAAAAAACACCTGGCTGCTACTTCCCGTAGATCTCTGTTGTTGTAGCCAGTTGCAACAGACGACAAACTCTGGAGGGAAAGGCAGGACAACATGGTCATGGTCTTTGATCTAGTGACCTATGAAGGTGTTTGAGTTGGAATCCACAGAATGTTGATGCTCATGGCCCTGCGGTGACCATCCATCTCTCTAGCAGTCAGTAGTTTCTCTCCTCTTCCAAGTTCTTTTTTCTCCAAATTCATCCTTGTATCCAACTACGATAAATATTTCCTTTGTATTCAAGACTCCTCCCTCTGACTTAGCTTTTTTTTATTTTTCAGAGAGGTTTTTGTTATAGGGCATGTGCACTCACTGGAGAGCAGAGAGCACAAAATCACCCCTCCCACACACAAGGAGGATGGCCATGCCGCAACACCTTCTCCAGTTTCTTCGGGATATTGGGCACATATGCACACACGCTTGGTGTGTTTCAAGCCACCAGGTCCGGGACTTGAACCACAGTCAACTACATGGGAGTCCAGTGACATAACCATTACACCATCTGCTGGTCCCTG